CTTCCCTATGTATATACACATATAGGTAGATAGAAACATGCTTTTGTAAGTGTGAACTTTAATGTTGTAAAGCTCATAGTAACCCTTTTTTCCTCAATCTATTTATTTATGTTTTTATAAATTTCTATAACATTCCATTATATATTTATAAGACAATGGAAGAGCAAGCTATAAAGAGATCCACTTCTGTAGAAACAGAATTTAAGTTGAAGGGACACTCTCTCCGATCTAATAAGCATCAGATCCACTACAGCCTAACGTGGTGGTTTTAGTAGAAAGGGCCTGTCACTTACCTGATTCTAGCGGTGATGTCCTTGATGCTGGGTCTGTGATCCGCCTCGTCCTACGTCATCCGACAGGGGAATGAATGCGCATGCGTTGTGTACCCATTAGGCCTTCCTCTATAGGAAAGCATTGCCTTAATGCTTTCCTATGGGGATTTCACTGACGTTGGACGTTGGATGTCGTCATGCACAGCTTTAAGGACCACTATAGTGCCAGAAAAACATACTCGTTTTCCCCCTCCCGCCGGGCTCTAGGGTGAGGAAGAGGTTAAACACATACCTTTTCTCCACCGCCGGGCTCCCTCAGCCTCCGCCTCCTCTCCGCCTCCTTTCCCCGTCATTGGCTGATGCGCATGCACGGCACGAGCCGCGCGCATTCAGCCAGTCCATAGGAAAGCATTCTCAATGCTTTCCTATGGACACTGGCGTCTTCTCACTGTGAAAATCACAGTGAGAAGCGTGGAAGCACCTCTAGCGGCTGTCAGTGAGACAGCCACTAGAGGCTGGATTAACCCATAGGTAAACATAGCAGTTTCTCTGAAACTGCTATGTTTACAGCAGGCAGGGTTAATCCTAGATGGACCTGGCACCCAGACCACTTCATTAAGCTGAAGTGGTCTGGATGCCTATAGTCGTCCTTTAACCCCTTAAGGACCAAACTTCTGGAATAAAAGGGAATCATGACATGTCACTCATGTCATGTGTCCTTAAGGGGTTAAAAACATCCAACGTCGTTTAATGGACTTAGAGTCTGTTAGAATTCTGCAAGCGTCTCTAGTAGCTATCTGATAGACAGCCACTAGAGGCAGTCTTAGACCTGTAATGTAAATCATTGTAGTTTTTGAGAAACTGCAATGATTACTTTGCAGGACTAAGTGGGACAGGGACACTGCACCCAGATCAATTCAATGAGATGAAGTGGTCTGATTACCTACAGTGTCCCTTTAACAGGGGCCCTGAATTTAAATACATAGGAAAACACTCCAGTGTAAGGAATACATACTTGTTTTGCTAATAGTAGAATATCCATTTAAACAGTGAAAAATCTGTTAACCACACTTGATATCCTTATAGCCCCTAAAAAAAAAATCTTTTTCCAGCATCTGGTTGATGAACTTTTTCCTCTGCTATAGAGACATGTTTCCAGTTTAATGAAGGATTAAATCCGTTTTCCTGGCACTGCAGAATCAAGCAGTGCCCCCTCCCTCCCACCCCACATCCCATATTGCTGATGGGGATAAATACCCTTCAGTGACTTACCTGAATCCAGCACCGATGTCCCTCGGTGCTGGGTCAGACTCCGCCCACACTCCTCCCCCACCGTCGTCAGCTGGCGGGGGAGACCTAATGTGTATGCGCAGCAATGGTAGACAGCCACTAGAGGAGGACTTAACCCTGCAAGGTAATTACTGCAGTTTATAAAAACTGCAATAGATACACTTGCAGGGTTAAGAGTGATGGGAGTTGGCTACCAGACCACTCCAATGGGCAGAAGTGGTCTTGGTGCCTGGAGTATCCCTTTAATTCAGCTGTCGCTTTATGTAATAAAATAATATAGATATACAATATGTACATTGTAAAACACAACAGATGAGTTTATAAAATTTGCCAACACTTTTTTTTGCAATAATAATAAAATAGACGCATACAGATGTCCTGTGTTTCTGTTCCTTCCAGCTCTTACTTTCTCAATCCATATGAATCATTGTTTATAAATCATTGCATGCTCTGTAATGATACATTTTGTTAACGGGTCTGTTTTTACTGTTATTGGGACATTTCGCTAGTAACAATAATTTATTTTGAACCAATGTGAAACTAGTAGGCACTCTAAAACAAATTATATGACAGTGAATTAAGCAGCAAAACTCTCACTCATGCGACTGCTCTCCCATAAAACAGTCACATGTACAATCAAAAACCAGTGTGAAGATAATCTGAGATGTGCCTGTGAATAATACTTATCAGCTTTTCAATGTGCATACATCTCAGGATGATGGTATAAATAAAAAAGAAAAATATAAAACAATAATAATGCAGATTGAAACAAATAAATCCAAATAATAAATGAAAAAAGTGCCAAACAAAATGTGACAAAGTAATAAATTTATGAGGATATCTCATGAATACATGAACACTCAATTGCAACAAAGTCATGATGGTAATATAGGACAAGTCTGATGTTCCTTGTATTGGGGTAAGATTTGTAATTTACTGAAGCAAGAGCCCTGGTTTGGATCAAGATTTATCATGTAATCACAGAGGTTTGTATATCAATATAATACTGCCCTATCCTCCGAATTAAGTCTGATATTAAAAATTATGCCCCAAGGTTTAGTCTGACATGAAAAGTTGTGACCCAATGTTCAGTTTGACTCTAGTTTAGTTAATGTATCCTATTGCTGTTATGTTTAGATGTCCAATTATCTGTTTCACGTTTCTATATCCACCCTGATTCGACCTGTAAAAGTCGGGTCATGCCAAACTTGATGCACTATAATATAGTTGAAGCAAGTCCATATATAGATCTGCATCTATAATGTGAATGAAGACGTTGGTAATACATGTTACAGTCATTTGTACAATCGTTTATTTACTTTTCTTTTATAACTGTAAAGGGTCAGTCAAGGCACCATAACCACTGCAACATGCTGTAGAGGTTATTGTGCCTGGACTGGCCCTTTAAGAGTCATACTAACATCTCTGAACACTACTATCCCCAAAAAAGTTCATTTTTTTCTTTACTTTGGGAAAGTTTGGGAAACAAATGTGCTGGAAAACAAGACAATTATACTTGCACAATACACTTAGTGTATCTGTTTTAATATTTGCGTTGTACAGTAAGACATTTATTTTAAATTCCATTTTTATGTTATCACCTTACTAATGATCATACATTGTTTAGCTGTCACTTAGCATTTCTTTTACCATGGGTTTAAAAAAATGTAAACAAAACAAAACTATCTGAGAAAATATCACAGAAAATGTGCTTTGAATACAAATGTAATTGGCTAATTAAGCTATTTATGCACTTTTTAAAAACTTTTTATTTCTGCCATTGTATATATCAACCGGAGATATATTGAGATGCACCGGGCGGCTCAAAATTGGATGCAGGGCTGCCAGGCAAAAGCTTTGGAGGATGCGGTGCAATTGTTATTATTGGAGCAATTATTTGAGCACACGCCAACGGAAACCTGGGACTGGGTAAGAGATAGGAAACTGGGTACGCTGGAGGAGGCAGCTCGGTTAGTGGACGAGTACCACGATGGTAGAAAAGTAGAATCGAGCGGAGGGCAAACCACGTTTAAGCCCCCTTTTCCAGTGCAAGGACCTCTGCCACCACCCAGACCTATCTTCTACCCTACAGTCCTGCTGTCAACACCCATCCGGCGCCCGCCTCACGAGATGATATTCAATGTTAGGCATATCTCCCCACAGGGTATCTCCAAGATGTAAACTCTTGTTCCAGTGATGATGTAATAGATGCAATGTTCTGATATTATAAAATAAAAAAGAAATAGTGCAATACAGCAATGTATACAAAATTATTTAATAAATGATTGCACTTACAGACAGGAAAAAAAAATTCTGCATATCTCCATCATATATGTGGATCTCAGCAAACCAGAAGTATATCAGTAGTTTCACAGGAGTAGCAGCAAACAATATACAAAATGCAAAATACAAAAAATATTAAAAATTATTAAATCAAGTCCAACACGTTTTTTCCAAGTCTTGGATGTCTTCAGGACCTGGACAAAATGCGTTGGACTTGATTTTAGAATTGTTTTTATATTTTTTGTATATTGTATTTTGTATAGTTTGCTGCTACTCCTGTGGGACTGCTGATCTACTTCCGGTTTGCTGAGATCCACATATACAGTCAGGTCCATAAATATTGGGACATCGACACAATTCTAATCTTTTTGGCTCTATACACCGACACAATGGGTTTGAAATGAAACAAATAAGATGTGCTTTAACTGCAGACTTTCAGCTTTAATTTGAGGGTATTTACATCCAAATCAGGTGAACAGTGTAGGAATTACAACAGTTTGTATATGGGCCCTCTGTTCTGTGCTCACCTGTGCCAAGATTTGAGTCACAATTTCGGGTGAAGGATTTGGCTCCAAAAGGCTGAGTCTCCACATTACTTTGCGCTGATACTCTGGTTCACTGGGGTATTAGGAGCAACCACACCAAATAGCAGTCTCTGGGCGAATTGGGAAAAGGGATAAGACACTGACAAAAGAAGTGCCGGGGAATCACACGTTGAGTGTCTGGCCTAGAGTAACAGACACTCAACGACCAAGTCCTGCTGGCCATGTTCTGGGAACAAGATGGCCACCGTTTTGTCTCTAGCACGTGGTGAGCCAGTATCCGAATGGCGACCATATAGCAGGGCCCTTGTAAAACTCAGTTCCCCATCAAAATAAATAAGCCAGGAGGGAACAGGTGTTCGATACTAGGGTCCCCGAATGCAATCCATAAATGACCCCCCCCCCATATGTGTAGTTTAGTCACAATCAATCTTAGAGGTCCTAAAGGGGTGTTGGCTGGTGGAAACCCAATTTACGACTATGGTCCCCCAGAAGTACAAAGGTGATGGCCATCAAAGGGTTAGAAACATAGAAACATAGAATGTGACGGCAGATAAGAACCATTCGGTCCATCTAGTCTGCCCAATTTTCTAAATACTTTCATTAGTCCCTAGCCTTATCTTATAGTTAGGATAGCCTTATGCCTATCCCATGCATGCTTAAACTCCTTTACTGTGTTAACCTCTACCACTTCAGCTGGAAGGCTATTCCATGCATCCACTACCCTCTCAGTAAAGTAATACTTCCTGATATTATTTTTAAAACCTTTGTCCCTCTAATTTAAGACTATGTCCTCTTGTTGTGGTAGTTTTTCTTCTTTTAAATATAGTCTCCTCCTTTACTGTGTTGATTCCCTTTATATATTTAAATGTTTCTATCATATCCCCCCTGTCTCGTCTTTCCTCCAAGCTATACATGTTAAGATCCTTTAACCTTTCCTGGTAAGTTTTATCCCGCAATCCATGAACCAGTTTAGTAGCCCTTCTCTGAACCCTCTCTAAGGTATCAATATCCTTCTGAAGATACGGTCTCCAGTACTGTGTACAATACTCCCAAGTGAGGTCTCACCAGTGTTCTGTACAATGGCATGAGCACTTCCCTCTTTCTACTGCTAATACCTCTCCCTATACAACCAAGCATTCTGCTAGCATTTCCTGCCGCTCTATTACATTGTCTGCCTACCTTTAAGTCATCAGAAATAATCACCCCTGAATCCCTTTCCTCATATGTTGAGGTTAGAACTCTATCAAATATTCTGTACTCTGCCCTTGGTTTTTACGTCCAAGATGCATTATCTTGCACTTATCCACATTAAATGTCAGTTGCCATAATTCTGACCATTTTTCTAGTTTACCTAAATCATTTGTCATTTGGCTTATCCCTCCTGGAACATCAACCCTGTTACATATCTTAGTATCATCAGCAAAAAGACATACCTTACTATCAAGACCTTCTGCAATATCACTAATAAAAATATTAAAGAGAATGGGTCCAAGTACAGAACCCTGAGGTACCCCACTGGTGACAAGTCCAAGCTTCGAATATATTCCATTAACTACAACCCTCTGTTGCCTGTTACTCAGCCACTGCCTTACCCATTCAACAATATTTGAATCCAAACTTAAAGATTGCAGTTTATTGATAAGCCTTCTATGTGCAACAGTGTCAAAAGTGGTTTCAGAACTGATAGAGCTTAGAAGACCCCCTCCAATTGTGAACGAATTTGGAGAGTTACAGCCCTACATTTAGAGGTAATTGCTGACCTTGTGCTGAGAGAATTATAATTCAGAACAAGATAAAACACGGAATGAAACATTTTCAAAAGTTATGGATTTAGAGCCACAAGGTAAAATAGCTGTCTGCCATGAAGAGTCTTCATAGAGACCAGGCTTCAGAGACATTTAACTTGAGCTGTCCAGGTATAGTCTACAGTTGGTTCAAAAGAAATAGACAAAACTATAATTTCCATACTTAAAAATGTGTTTTTCTCTAAATGTTGATGATTTTAGTAGTCTCCGGTTGATATATACAATGGCAGAAATAAAAAGTTTTTAAAAAGTGCATAAATAGCTTAATTAGCCAATTACATTTGTATTCAAAGCACATTTTCTGTGATATTTTCTCAGATAGTTTTGTTTTGTTTACATTTTTTTAAACCCATGGTAAAAGAAATGCTAAGTGACAGCTAAACAATGTATGATCATTAGTAAGATGATAACATAAAAATGGAATTTAAAATAAATGTCTTACTGTACAACGCAAATATTAAAACGGATACAATAAGTGTTTCGTGCAAGTATAATTGTCTTGTTTTCCAGCACATTTGTTTCCCAAACTTTCCCAAAGTAAAGAAAAAAATGAACTTTTTTGGGATAGTAGTGTTCAGAGATGTTAGTATGACTCTTAAAGTGCCAGTCCAGGCACAATAACCTCTACAGCATGTTGCAGTGGTTATGGTGCCTTGACTGACCCTTTACAGTTATATGCAGAATATTTGTTGCTGTTTGTAAGTGCAATTATTAGTCTACCAATCCGATGTCTCAGAAGACTGCACACAAAAGCTCTCAGAGGCTACCTAAATGGATACTATAGCATCAAAACAACTTTAGCTTAATGAAAATCACTAACAAAGCACATAATAACCGCTCGGTGTATTGACACCCTTGTATAGAAAAAGTACAAGATTCAGCTTCCCAGATGTTTTTTCCCAAATTACCACCTTTCTTAATTAGCAAAAATAGAAACAATATTTGGGAATCAGCTAAGCATCTAAAAGGAATAAATAAACCAGACATGGTGAAGTATAGTTAGATTTATTTATTTATAAAATATTTTACCAGGAAAGATACATTGAGATTTCTCTAGTTTTCAAGTATGTCCTGGGTCCACAAATCATTGCATTGTTACATTATGGTACAATAAAATACAAAAACAATATTAATACACAATATATACAAAATTTAACATAGAACAGGCAGGAAATATATAATCAACCATGACAGGTGCATTCTGCTTTGAGGTATGTAGAGAGGGATCTCTTAAAAGACTGTAGGCTTAGGGAAGATTTTAAAATGTGCGGGAGGTCGTTCCACAGTTGCGGTGCTCTGTAGGAGAAGGAGGATCGGGCTGCTTTCTTTTTGTATTGAGGTAGACTAAATAAAGTGCTGGTACTGGATCGGAGCTTATAGGAGGTGGGAACAGCCGAGGAGAGCATTCTGCTCAGGTAGGGTGGGAGTTTCCCAGAAAAGCTCTTAAACACAAGGCTGGAAAGATGAAGGGTACGTCTGGATTCCAGCGACAGCCAGTTTAGTTCGTTTAGCATGTCACAATGGTGGGTCCTGTAATTACATTGTAGCACAAATCGGCAGATGTGGGATTGCGGTGCAGATGCATATACTACATCCCCATAATCAATACTTGGCATCAGCATTTGCTGTACAATCTTTTCCTTTACTCTAGGGCTTTGGCAGGACTTTACAGGGCACCTAGTTTTGGGTAAAGTTTAGATGCAAGTTTTTCTATGTGGCCAAAAGATAGATTGGGGTCTAACAAAATACCCAATTATTTGAAAGAGTGGACTGCGGTCAGTGTGCTATTTGAATTTGTTTTGATGGATAGGTGGGAATTGTGTAATTTGTGTAATTTAGGTACTGTTCCAAAATCATTGTGACAGCTTTGTCAGTGTTTAGGAAGAGTTTGTTTTTTGTGATCCACTTTTCTACCTCTGTAAACTGGTCTTGGAGCACAGCCTCAAGCTGCGGTATATCGGATTTGCTCACATAGATTACTTTGTCGTCTGTTTACAAGTGTACATTTGAGGATTTGCAGACATTAGGCAGATAATTTATAAACAATGTAAATAGTAAGGGGCCGAGAATGGAACCGTGGGGAACACCACACGTGACTGGGAGAGGGAGGGAGTCGCTGTTAGAAATGGACACATATTGCGAGCGATCCGATACATACGATCGAAACCAGGTTAACGGACAATCACCAATACCTGAGTTTTTGAGTTTGTGCAGTAGAATGTCATGGTCTACTGTGTCAAAGGCCTTTGCAAAATCAAGGAAAATAGCTCCAGTTAGGTCTCCTTGTTCCATGTCAGTTTGGATGTCATTTCAAACTTTTAAGAGGGCAGTTGTAGTGGAGTGATTCTGGCGAAAGCCAGATTGATCAGGGGTCAGATAGTTTGATTGTTGGTAATACTCACATAGTTGCGTATGGACACATTTTACTAAGATTTTTGACAATACTGGGAGCAATGATATTGGGCGATAGTTATAAACCAAAGTAGTGTCACCACTTTTATGGATAGGCACTACTCTCGCAGTCTTCCAAAGTTTGGGGATGTATCTAGACACCAGGGCCGGACTGGGGAAAAAATTAGGCCCGGGCATTTTTCAATCAGAGCGGCCCCCTAAGAAGGGGGCGGGGCCAGAGAGGGTGTGTTTTGTCATCACTAATGACAAGCACGCCTCCTCTCAAAGTGAGCATGTTGGTTCAATGCGCAGAGCTCTGGCATTAGAAAAAGGCACTGTATTTGTTCTGCGCAGCGCAAGCAAATTTAATAACATGCTTGCGCTGTGTTTGCTTTTAAATTGTCTCTGGTGTCTCAACAAGTGGGATACCAGAGGACAAAAGGGACAGGAAAGTGTATGGTGCATGTGTTTGGAGCCTGCTTGTGGGATTGCGTGTGTGTAGAGTGTGGTGTGGTATTGTGTAAATAGGTCAATTTCATATGTGTTTGTGGTGTAATATGTGTGGCTAGGGGCTGTAGAGAGTGTGTGTATAGGTGGCATAGTGTTATAGGGGATGTAGCGAATGTGTGCATACGGGCTGTAGTGTGTGTGTATAGGTGACGTAGTGTGTGTAGGGGTTGTAGAGAGGGTGTGTTTAGAGAATGTTGTATGTGTTTGCTGACAAGGAATGTAGTGTGTGTGTAGGTGGTGCAGTGTGTGTGTAGGAGATCTAGTGTGTAAAGGACCCAGAGTGTGTATAGGAGATGTGTGTGTGTGTGTATAGAGGATTAAGAGTGCATATAAGGTAAGGGATCTAGCGTGTATCTGGAGCGTAATGTATGTAGTGCTGTAGTGTGTGTGTGTGTATATACATATATATATTTGGACGTATTGTATGTGTGAGGGGCGCAGTCTGTGTGTATGTAAGAGGGGTGCTGTGTGTGAGGGTGTTTTTATCTGCCGTCACATTCTAATTTTCTTTGTCTGTTAACTCACTGAGGGTTATTTTATATATTATATATATATATATATATATATATATATCTGTAAATATATATATATATATATATATGTGTGTGTGTGTGTGAGCGAGGGTGCTGTGTGTGAGTGAGGGTGTTGTGTGCCTGAGGGTGCTGTGTGTGTCTGGGTGCGCTGTGTGTGTCTGGGGGTGCTGTGTGTGTCTGGGGGTGCTGTGTGTCTGGGGGTGCTGTGTGTCTCTGGGGGTGCTGTGTGTCTCTGCTGTGTGTCTGGGGTGCTGTGTGTCTGGGGTGCTGTGTGTGTCTGGGGTGATGTGTATGTCTGAGGGTGCTGTGTGTGAGTGAGGGTGCTGTGTGCCTGAGTGCGCTGTGTGTGTCTGGGGGTGCTGTGTGTTTCTGGGGGTGCTGTGTGTGTGTCTGGGGGTACTGTGTGTCTGGTGGGTGCTGTGCTGTGTCTGGGGGTGCTGTGTGTGTCTGGGGGGTGTATGTGTGTGTCGGGGGTGCTGTGTGTCTGGGGGTGCTGTGTGTGTCTGGGGGTGCTGTGTGTGTCTGGGGGTGATGTGTGTGTCTGGGGGTGATGTGTATGTCTGGGGGTACTGTGTGTGTCTGTGGGTGATGTGTG